TAAAGAACTCTGAGAAAAAAATCTTATGCTTTAACTCGCCGGCTACGGGATGATTGAATTAAAATTCTTAATAAGATCCACCTGGGGGAACATACATATGAAATGATCTATAACATTATTAAAATAATAACTAGCTTCCTAGATTAAAAAAAAAAACAAAAGTGAGTAGCCTATGTATTTTTCCAGACTATGTTCTACATCTGTGCCAAATTTCATCAAGATCAATAAGGTAGTTCAGTCTACAAACATCCATCCATCTAAACTTTCGCATTATAAGTTAGGATGATACTAAGAAGTAAGATTAAAATGTTAACTGAGTTTCGTTATTTCTTTATTAAATGTACCAATACATTTATGGACGTAGCCAGTAAATGATCTAGGCCAGGTCTAAGGTGCCCTCCTAGATCTAGCTTAGATCTTACTTCAAACAGAATGGTCTTATTTAAAGTGTTTTTTTATCTATTTTTTAATTTTCACTCGCTAAGTTTATCCCCCTTGTCATGTCCCCCCTCCCAAAGCCTACAAATGCATACATCAGAACATTAATTCAAAATTAGAGTTATGATTTGTTTCCAACAGTTAATAATTTCAACCCAAAACAAAACATTTCGTTAGCCCTCCTAAGCCAGACATAGGTCTTGTTACAGCTTGGAATACGGCTATGATTGTACTACGGCTTGGCCATAATTGTCTGTGATACCTGAATATACGATAGTAACCGAATACTATAAATATTCTACATAGAATAGACATTTAGAGATGGCGCACACCTTGAACTAAACTATCGCACAACTGTTGTGCGATGTGGTGTGGATGGATGTTTGTTAGCGTTTGTAGCCTAAACAGCTGAACGGATTTTGATGAAAATTGGTATAATTGTAGAGGATAGTCTGGCAGAACACAGAGGCTACTCACTTTTGTTTTTTTTAATATCACGCGGACAGAGTCGCGAGCGAAAGCTAATTTCACTATAAAAATATCGATAGACAATTAAATGTAATGTTTACAAGCAATATTAAATGATAAAATATCATAAACATGGAAATTGTGAGGAAATAAAATGCAATTTAACTTTTATCTCCCTTAAATCATAAAACCAATCGACATAAAAATACGATGAATAAAAATAACAAAAAAAAAAAAACAGATAGCGGCAGCATAAAAATAGATTAGACGCGTACACAAAAGTGACACTTAGTTTTTTACGCAGTGGCAAATGGAAATTTTACAACCGCGCCACTATCATGGCTTAAGGGTCAGTTTCATTGAATTAAAAATCGAAAAAAAAATCAAACAAATACTGGCTGAAAAAAAAAAGAATAAAAATATCGATTTGGAATATTTTTTCTAAATATCCTGAATACACTTAGACTTTTGTTTTAATACTTACAAAATAAATTAATGAGCGAAAGTGATAAAGAGAAATAAAAATGTAATGTAGTAAAAAAAAATATAAAAAAAAAACTTCAAAATAGTTTATTGGGCAAATTTATGGATTAAATTGAAAAAAACTAATTAATGTAAAATTAAGTATAGTTGACATTTGTTTTTTTTTTTAAAAACAAGAATTTCTTTTACTGTAAAAACCGCAGTGCAATCGTAGGTTAAATATAAAATAAAAGCCGGCCATTTTAAAGTTGCACCGCTACGCAGCTGACGTCAAATGCATTCCCTATTCTCTATATGAACGGCCGATCGGTGGAAAAATTTTTCATTAAAATAAAACATTAAAGGCTTCCACTGTCGACGTACTCGCTTCAGGAACACATTGTGGCTAAAGGTTGGAGTTCATTGTGGCAAAAGCTATAGGACATTGTGGGTAAATGCTATTTGTTCTTTTGTATTTAGGTCATTATTATAATATACAAAAGAACAAATGTATATTAGTACGATGTATTCATGCTAATATTATAAATGCGAAAGATTAGATGGATGAATGTTTATGTGTGTTTGCTGCCTAAACGGCTGAACGAATGTTGATAAAATTTGGCATAGATGTAGAGGATATTCTGGAAGAAGACATCTACTTACTTTAGATGTTTTTAATTTTATGCGGATGGAGTCGCGGGCGAAATCTAGTACATATTTATAATGTAAGCATTGAAAGATAATTCTATGGGAAGACGTTTATTATATTTAAATACGTTACAATTGCAGTA